GGAACTTCTGTCAGCCATCTCTTCCATCTCTGCACAGAGAGGACGACTCACTGGCCCATGCCGCAAAGGAGAAAGCCGATCTGTTGAGCTCTCTTTTTGCGTCCAACTCGACTCTAGATGACGGGGGGAACACACCGTCGAACATCCCGCGATGTGAGTGCTCCATGCCGGATGTGCGGTTTACACAGCGCTCGGTTCGCAAAGCACTCTTCTCCCTGGACGTCAGCAAGTCGAGTGGGCCCGATGGAGTCCCTCCCATTGTGCTGAAGACGTGTGCTCCTGAGTTGGCACCGGTTTTAACGCGTCTTTTCCGGTACTCCTACTCCCAAGGCATAGTCCCGAATTCATGGAAGACAGCTTTGATCCACCCGATCCCTAAAAAAGGCGACCGCTCAGACCCGTCCAACTACAGGCCTATTGCCATCACCTCCTTGTTCTCCAAAATAATGGAATCCATTATAAAGTGCCAGCTCATGAGGTACCTTGAGGACCACCAGCTGATTAGTGACCGCCAGTACGGTTTTCGTCGAGGTCGATCAGCTGGTGATCTTCTAGTCTATCTGACTCATAGATGGGTGGAGGCAGTAGAGTCCAAGGGGGAGGCATTGGCCGTTAGTTTGGACATAGCGAAGGCCTTCGATCGGGTCTGGCACAAAGTGCTTCTTTCGAAGCTTCCTTCCTATGGGCTTCCCGAGAAATTGTGCAAATGGATCACCAGTTTCCTTGCTGATCGGAGCATCAAGGTCGTAGTAGACGGTGCATGCTCTGATTTCAAGCCTATCAACGCTGGTGTTCCACAAGGCTAGGCATAGGCATATCAATGATATTCATTGCTATGCAGACGACAGCACTGGTGATGCCTTATATACCGGCCGTGCCAATATTTCTCGGGAAAACGTCGCTGAGTACCGGGACAAACTTGTGTCTGAAGTCGAGTCATTGCTTAACAAAGTCTCGGATTGGGGCCGACTAAATCTAGTCCAGTTCAATCCCCAGAAGACACAAGTTTGCGCGTTTACCGCTAAAAAGAACCCCTTTGTCGTATCTCCTCAATTTCAAGGCACTCCCCTTGCTGCCTCAGCTAGTATCGGAATCCTTGGCGTCGACATATCGAATAGTGTGCAGTTTCGTGGTCACTTGGAAGGGAAGGCCACATTGGCCTCTAAAAAGCTTGGCGTGCTCAGCAGAGCGAGACAGTACTTCATGCCGGCACATCGCTTGCAACTTTACAAAGCGCAAGTTCGGCCCACATGGAATACTGTTCTCATCTCTGGGCCGGGGCACCCCAGTGCCAGCTCCTTCCACTTGACCGCATCCACCGCAGAGCGGTTCGAATCGTCAACGACCGAGTTCTTTCTGATCGGCTCGATACACTGGCACTGCGTAGAGATGTTGCATCTCTTTGCGTATTTTATCGCATCTATCACGGGGAGTGCTCTGAGGAATTGTTTGGACTAATTCCAGCCGCTCAATTTCACCATCGCACATCGCGACAAAACTCGCGTTACCATCCATACCATCTGGATGATTGGCGGTCCACCACTGTGCGATTTAGAAGAAGTTTTCTCCCTCGCACAACTTCCTTGTGGAATCAATTACCACCAGCGAATTTTCCGGACCGATACGACTTGGGAACCTTCAAGAAAAGAGCTTACACCTTTCTAAAAGGCCGGCAACGCATCTGCAATTCCCCTGGTGTTGCGGTTGTTCATGGGCGGCGGTAGTCACTTACCATCAGGTGAGCCGCATGCTCGTTTGCCCCCTCTTCTATAAAAAAAAATATATAGATACTAAGATGCTAAGGCTATTTGTTTGCTAAAATTTCCTATTAATATCATTGTGCTAAATCCTTTTCTAAAACCAATTTGGCTCTTTGGTATAATGCCTCTATTTTCAAGAATCCACTTAAGTTGATATTTAACAAGGTGCTCCATGATTTTAGACAAGGTTGATGAAATAGCAATAGGGCGATAACTTAATGCTGAAGAAGGGTCTTTGCCAGATTTTAGAATAGGTATAATAATATGAGTTTTCCAATCATCAGGAATGGAACCGGTTGTAAAAGCAAATTTAATGATACTTAAAAAGAACTGCTTACACTAAGAACCCATATTAACAAGAAATGAGTAGGGAATACCATCAATGCCAGGAGAGGAATCCTTTAGGTGCCTAAGCCCTAACTGCAGTTCAGCTATTGAAAATGGTTCATTAAGGTTATCAAGAGTTAGGTGAGTGAGCAGGAAAGGATTTAGAGGTAGGAAATATTTCTTCTTCCAATGGAACCCAGGGGGGGAGCCAGTCTGTTACCGAAGTCGTCTAGCCAAAGGGAAGGGTCTGCACAAGGGGGATTACTATAATTTAAAGCACTACAGAAGTGCCTGATACTTTTCCAAAGAAGAAAGAAGGAGATCGAGGAGATAGGCTCTCACAGAATAAAAGCCATCCTTTTTTTTTCTTTTCAGAAAGAAGTTTTTTGAACTGAGCAGCTATTTTTTGATAATTTAGAAAATTTTCCATGACCATATTAGAGGAATATAGCCATTCTGCAGCTTTTCGTTTTCTAATAATTGAGGAGCAATCTGCATCCCACCATGGTGGTGAAGTTCTGATTTTGAGAAAAATACATCCTAATAAGCTTCAGCCAGGTTGAATTTGAAAAGGGGGGATATACTTTGAGTAGGAACACAACTATTACTTAGGTTTGAGAGGATGGGAAAGTGATCACTACCAAAGAAGAAGGAAGAAATGTCCATGATATGCTAGCAGCCAAGATTGGAGAGCACAATGACAACTCTACTGCGGATCTAGTATTCTGCAAAGGGTAGGACATTCTGGTGAGAGAACTATCATTTAGAAGACAAAGATTAAATTCATTGAAAACATCAAGTAGCAAATAAGAAAACGAATCAGATTTATGGAAACCCCACATAACATGATGGCTGTTGAAGTATCCTACAATGTAAGGTGGGGAGATGCTTGATAGAATTAAATTGAGTTCTGGAATACAAGAAGGAGCTGAAATGTAAATGGATAGAATTGTGATGTCCAAAGCCTTAACAGCTACTGCATTTATATTGCCTAGTATAGGAGGGAGTGGGATGGGTGATAAAGGAATGGTGAGGTTTAGTAGAATCAGAGCACCACCATAGCCGTCACTCCTATCACTACAATAGCTGGAGAAGCCTGGGATTCTAAATGTGGACCCTAGCTTAGCCAGGTCTCCTATATTGCAAGTATTGAAGGATTATAATTATTGATTAAGTGGATTATATCAGGTTTCTTGTTCCTGATGCTCCGACAATTCCACTGGAGGAGGGTTAGGGACTCAAACTTTATATATTCTGGAGAAGAGTACATCTAGTTTGTTTTTCAAGTTGAACTGTAAATGGGAATCATCGAATTTGCCAAGAATATCTGTAAGGGAGGATACAATATTTTCTAGAAGATTAACATTAGAGGATATTATATTGTTTTGTAAAGCATATCCATTGGAGAGAGAGAGGAGGAAGGAGTACTTGTAATATTATAATGTGAAACTTTATCATAACCTACTGAAGATTGCACTGAGATAGATTTGGCTTTATAGATAGTTTTCCTATAGGATTGGGAAGGAGATGGAAAAGTAGGAAGGTTTATAGGTGCCTGAGTAGAGGGGAGATGGCTTGCAGGAACTTGTGACGATTCAACATCAGAATAAGGTATTCTGACAGCTGGAAAGCAAGCAGAAGCCTCAAGGTATGACACATTCTCTTGCAACATTACTATTTTGATAGCTTTTGCCTTGAGTGCTCTGGACAAGTTTTTTCAATGGCTGAATGATTTGCAGAGCAGAAAAGACAGGGGACAATTTTCTCTAGTATGCTTTTTGCTGCATTTAAAGCAACGTGGTTTAGATCGACATTGAGCTTTGATATGATCAAAAAGGCAGCATTTTAGACATTGGATGGTAGGAGAAGGTAAGTTTCTACAGGTATTGAAGCATAAAACCAGTATATGTGGGAGGGGAGCACTTGTCCTGAGAATGTGAGGACAACAGTTTGAGTAGGAACCCACTCTACTTCATCGCCCTTCTTGACCTTTCTATTAAGTCTTCTGACTTTAACAAACTAATTCCTCCATTGAGATGTCAGCTGGGATACCCTTAATCACACCCATACGAGTAACATTAAAAGTTGGAATGACAGCAGAAAATTTATATTGCAAAAGAAACAGAGTCAATAAAATTATTAGCATCAGTAGCTGTTTTAGAAACAATTGAAACTCTGTTACGCCCTAAGATTTTGATGGCCTGTTTTTCAATATTGACTAGTTTATTTTGTGAGAGGATATGGCAAATTTTCACAGGTATAATTGTATAACCTGCTGATGGATCAGGTTCTGAGCAACTTAAATGAATAACGCAAGGGTCTTTATCACTATCTACATACTTTTTTTTTCTTGGAAGTCAGGGTGGACAAATGTATTTTGATAGGAGGCCAAAGGGTGATCTTTGTACCCTATTCTTTCTTTGGCAAGCTGGATAAAGTATCCTTAAGTTCATGTTTACTAGAGCTGGAATCACCACATAAATCCATTGGTTCAGCATCTCCCCCCTCAACATCCATCGTCGTCACAAAGATGTTCATTAACTATGTAAACAAATAATACCACTAACCTACTAACATATAAGACACACACAGACAACACAAAGAAAATTGAGAAGGTCTATGCAAATTTGAATCGGAAAATAATTAAAAACTTATTTCAATACAAAAACACATGTAACCACCAATCACTCTCACAGCAGATTCTATATCTCATTGTTAAATTTATAGATACATAAAATAATGTACATATTACCTATATAGTTTATATGTTAAGTATATTGAGTTTATATAGTTACATAAATAGCTTTCTACAATTACCTACTTCGTAAATGATAAGGGACAAAACCTCCAGGGTTTGGTCTCCTTTTCATTCTAACCAAATTCTAAAAAATTCTAAAACCAAATTATAATTACCTCGTTTTTTTCTTTCCTCAGTTTTCTGAGGACCTCCATCTATAACATTGGTCAGTTCAATTACATTAAATGTGCACTTCTCTCTTTCTTTTTGTAAGTCAGGGTTCACTTTCACAGGGTTGGACATTTTAAGTGCACTGCACAGATTTTAAAGATCACAATAAAATAAAAAGAGTGATATGTGACAATTTTATAATAACTAGAAGATAGTATTGCTGCTAACTACCCTGCTTAAAATACAACTACTACTAAGAATACAACCAAAGAAAAGAAACAGAAACAGTGTAAACGTAGAAAGTGATAAGGTATATCGTAGATTAACTGTAAATAATCACAATATTATTCTGTACTCTCTGACGAGGGATGGACGAGATAACGAGACTTCGTGACAATGAGTATAATCACAATGTATTTCCTGCGTAATAAGTACTATACTACTGGATCCTCGCAATAAACTGTGATGTTACAAAATAATTCAATAATAATTATTGCCAATTTGTTCAATTATGATTTGATAATAAGATATGACCATAGATAAATATATAGATATGACTGTCAATGTGTCAATGTCAAGTGTGAATGTAAATTGTCAATTGATAATGATGGATCAACTCGATTTAGTAGTTCGAGTTAACTCAAGTTGCCTTCAACTCAAAATAACTTGAGTCGGATTATTCTGGTTTCCTACAATATTCTGTGGAGATAGCTTCGGAAGGCGGGAGTCCTTCCAGTAAAACTTAACGGTTCACTTTTACAGAGGATAACCCATTTTAAATATCTGAGTCATATTGTGACAGAAGACTTAAAGGATGACCTAGATATCGAAAGGGAACGCAGGGCGCTAATTGTGAGAGGTAATATGGTGGCTAGAAGGTTTGCTGCTTGCTCTGTACCAGTAAAAATTACACTGTTTAAGGCCTTCTGCCAATAATTTTACCTTTGAACCTTTGGGCCAATCATACCCAAAGGGCAGGAAATATCCTGCGTATCCAATATAACAATGCCTTCAGGTTGCTGTTAGGGCTTCCACCTTATTGTAGTGCATCAGGCATGTAGGCCGATACGCATACTGACGATTACTTGATACAACGGTGATAGAGCCACGCAGCAGTTTTTGCTGTTGCACGTATGGGCCGGCTCGAGCCGGGTTGGTACCACGACCTCACAGAATACCGGCGTGAAGTAGAGGCTCTGCTTCTGCGTTTTGTCTGGTGAGTGCAGGTGGCCGGAGGCCCAATTCCCCCCCCCCCCTCCATCAACATGGTAGCGGAATTACACGATAGACTACCCCAGGAGGGTACCAGTACCCCTGGAGAATCCCTCGCTGAGCATCCACGACCACGTTATTCCAATCCTGAGCGTGGGTGCTCAGGCTTCAGGCTGCCCCGCGTATTCTGGAAGGGGGGGGGGGGGTTTAAAATTCCGCTCAAAAACATAACTGCTTGAGGCAAACTGAGTAACAATACCAAGGCGCTATCCGTGAATTTCTGCAACATCAGGGACTTCACTCTAACCTAAACGCCGTTCACTACCATTTCGAGACGGCGAAGCCGTCCTTGCTCTTTCTGACCGAGACGCAGGTTTCCTCTCCGGCTGATATTTCGTATCTCTCCTACCCGGGGTACAAATTGGAGCACTCCTTTGTGTCTCGGGCTGGAGGTTGCGTGTATGTCAAAGAGGACATCTGTTCTCGACGCCTCGGCAGTCTTGAAGGTTCGGGCCTGTCCATCCTTTGGCTACGCGTAGACAGCGACGACCACACGCACGTCTACGGGTGCCTCTATAGGTCCCATAGCGGTAATGCCGAAACAGACCTACTCATCGACCACGTCCAAATGGCTACAGATTCCTTGCTACAAAAAGTCCCATCCGCAGAGATCGTGATCCTTGGCGATTTTAAAGCCCACCATGCCGAATGGCTCGGTTCACGTTTAACCGATCATGCGGGGCATAGATTACCCCCTAATAGATACCGCATCATTGAATATTTGTTCTGTTTTGAGTTCACCAAATGTGGCGGTATGGAAGGGTTGCGGGGGACGTGTCAAATGCGCTGTGATTGGACATTTACAGGTCAAACTTAGAATGCACCAAACCGTAGTGATGAAACAGGGTTGGGACGTTGATCGATAAATTTGGGATTTATTGATTATTGATAAATAAATATATTGATCAATTTTAATTTGATGTATGTTAAAAAATAAAACAATGTATACATATATTTGTACATTTAATTTATAAATATATATTTGACTGATTTTTAAAATGGATAAGCTTAGTATAAAATTGCCTCACAGAATTCTTAGGATCTGTCTTCCTGGATAAGTAGAGTAATCTTATGTCTATGTATTTTGCCGTGACACTCTTAGCTAAATCAATGACATGATTACAACTTCCATGATCGAATTGGTGATTTTTTATTTCAGGAAAAATATCCTCATTAAAAAACTGCTTAATGTTTTGGACAACCATCTACGCATCTGTACCACTTTCCTAGTGTTTTTACAGAGGATAAACAAGTATCAAATGTTTTGCGTACATAATTATAAGCCTCAGTTGAGTAAAAATTTATCATCATTATCATCATCATTACAGCCCTTCACAAGTCCACTGCTGAACATAGGCCTCCCCCAAAGAATGCCACAAAACACGGTCCTGAGCCACCTGCATCCATCGACTTCCTGCATGTCTTACCAGGTCGTCACTCCATCTCGTGGGGGGACGCCCTACACTTCGCCTACCGGTACGAGGCTGCCACTCGTGAACCTTTCTTCCCCATCGGTTGTCGGTTCTTCGAGCTATATGGCCGGCCCACTGCCACTTCAGCTTACTAATCCGTTGGGCTATGTCGGTCACTCTGGTTCTACTGCGGATATCCTCATTCCTAAGTTTATCACGCAGAGAAACTCCGAGCATAGCCCTCTCCATAGCTCGCTGAGCGACCTTGAGCTTCCTCATACGGCCAGCAGTGAAGGACCACGTCTCAGTTCCGTAAGTCATCACTGGCAACACGCACTGGTTGTACAATTTCGTTTTAAGGTTTTGAGGTATGTCTGACGAGAAAATGTGTCGTAGCTTCCCGAACGCTGCCCAGCCGAGTTGAATCCGTCGATTGACCTCTCGGTCGAAGTTGGACTTACCCAGTCGGACTATTTGTCCCAGGTAAACATACTCGTCAACAACTTCGAGCTTAGTGTTCCCAACAACTATCGGCATAGGTGTGACATGGACATTAAACATGATCTTAGTTTTGTCCATGTTCATCTTAAGACCTATCCGTTGGGAAACACTATTGAGGTCATTGAGCATAGTGCTTAGGTCCTCCAGCGATTCTGCCATAAGGACTATATCGTCGGCAAATCGAAGGTGAGTGATGTACTCGCCATTGATGTTGATACCGTATCCTTTCCAGTCCAGAAGCTTGAAAACGTCTTCTAATGCAGCGGTGAAGAGTTTCGGGGATATGACGTCACCCTGTCTTACACCTCTCTGCAATTGGATAGGTTTCGTACTCTGGTTCTGTACTCGGATAGCCATCGTAGCCCTACTGTACAAGCACTTCAACACTTCGATATACCGACAGTCAACTTGGCACCGCTGAAGGGACTGCAGCACCGCCCAAATTTCGACGGAATCAAAGGCTTTCTCATAGTCCACATACGCCAGACATAGTGGCAGATTGTACTCTTCGGACTTCTGTACAACTTGCCGAAGGGTATGTATGTGGTCTATGGTGCTAAAGCCCTTTCGGAAACCGGCTTGTTCGGGAGGCTGGAAGTCGTCAAGTCTGCGCGCGAGACGATTCGTAATGACTCTCGAAAACAGCACGTAGACGCGGCTCAGAAGGGAAGTTGGTCTGTAGTTCTTCAAGAGAGCGTTGTCACCTTTCTTGAAGAACAAGACCACCGCACTTCTGCTCCACGCCTCCGGTGTAATGCCACCATGGAGGACGGAATTAAAGAGCTTCTGAAGGACTTCAAGTACCGGTCTTCCACCCGCTTTCAGAAGCTCCGCTGTAATTCCATCCTCGCCTGGGGCCTTACCGTTTTTAAGGTGCTGGAGAGCCATCCTAATCTCGCTCAGACTGACATCCGGGATATCTTCGGAATAGTGTCGGATGAGACTCGCTCTTGGATCGTTACTCACACTTGCGTGTGGCTCCAATGATGATGTGTACAGCTGCCCATAGAACCTCTCAATCTCACTCAAAATCTCAGGTGTCCCGGAAACGATGCTGCCACATTCTGTCTTCAGCTTTGACAGTTGGCTCTTTCTGGCAGACAGATCTCTGGCAAAGACTTTGGAACCTTGGTTCCGCTCGATCGCTTCTTCAATACGAGCTGTATTGAAGTTGCGTAAGTCCCGCCGCATGCATTTGGAGATCTGTCTGTTCAGATGCCTGTATGCTGTCAAGTCTGTTGAAGAATGTAGCTTCATCTCCCGTCTAACAGCCATGAGATTAAGAGTGTGATCGGAGAGTTTTTGTGTTCTTCTGCGGCGGGTCTTGCAGAACTTAGCTCCAACCGCATGGACAGTTTCCACGAGCTTGTCATTCATATCGTCCACTTCATTGCAGTCTTCTAGGCACTGAAAACGGTTTTGTAACTCGAGCTGAAAGGTTTCGGGACTTTGAAACAGAGCACGAGGGGGACGGAGCGTTGACTTCATTAGACGAGACCTCTCCAACTTAACGTTTAGGTTCAGTGTGCCTCTAACCATTCGGTGATCGCTACCAGTTTTCACCCTCGCGATCACGGAGACATCACTGAACAGTTGTCGTCTGGTCGTCATAATGAAGTCAATCTCATTTTTTGTGGAACCGTCGGGGCTCGACCAGGTCCACTTCCTGTGGGGCCGCTTCTGGAAGAAAGAGTTCATCATAAAGAGTCCCTCTTTCTCCATGAAGTCGGCCAGCTGCTGGCCCCTTGGGTTCCGTTGCCCTATTCAAAATTTCCCTACTTTCAGCTCACCGTTCTCTCTTGTGCCTAGTTTTGCATTGAAGTCTCCCATTAACACCGTATATTGGGTTTTGGAGGAATGCATGGCTCTAGAGATATCCTCATACATTTCCTCCACCTCCTCATCGGGGTGTGCCGAGGTTGGTGCGTAAACCTGTATGACCTTCAG